ATGAATAACCGGAAATTGATTCATAGGGTAGAGTGAATAGTGGGGGAAAGGGAGGGAAAGGCATACAAATGATGAAATGAAAGAGTTCTGTAAATGCATAGCATTTCAATGCATTCATTGAGTGAAATATTGAAACATTGGTTGTCATCGGAAACACAGGTCCAGACATCGAGATGAATGAAACCAACGGTGAGACACAAGAGGGTGGGAGTGGTGGTGAAGACCACGAGCGCCGGGAAGAACGAGATGTGCACGAAGTGGTCGATGTGAGTGATAGTGAAGACCCATTGTCTGCCACTCAAGAGATCCACTCAATGGACATAGAGAGCGACAAAGAGACAGAAGTGCCGGAAGAGGTAAAGGATGGCCCGAGTGTTGGAAGTACTGCTCGTCCTGTGAATAAGCGCCCGTTTTTCTGTTTGTTTCCCAATTGTATCAAACAATTCACATCTGAAGCACATCTTAAACGACACCTGAAGAGCAGCATTCATACGATGAGATTGAGGTGCGATATGAAGAACTGTGGCTATCGATGACATGTTAAGTGATATCTCTCGCGACACAATCGCACGCATACCGGAGAAAAGCCGTACAAATGTGCGGTCAAGGGTTGCGGCACACGGTTCACACTATCAGGCAATTGAACTCAACATAAAATTAGTCACTCAAAAGTCGAGTCATATATTTGCGATTAAAGCAATTGTGGCAAACGCTTTGGCCTTAAGTCTAATCTAAAAGCACACAAACGCATCCATTCGGGAGTCAGAACATACGTTTGCGATGTCGAGGGTTGCGATAAAAGCTTTGTTCAAAATTGGGCACTTTGTCACCACAGAAGCACTCATTATGTATGAAAAATAAATGTAAAGATATTAATAATCCTGTAATTATAGCAATTGTTTGTAAAGCAATATCATATTAATTCACAATAAACTCATTTGTATTACTGATCACAAAAACTTAAATGAAATTTTTTTACCGAAAATATTTATAATTTTATTATTTACTTGAATTAATTTAATTATAATTTATAAAACAATTAATAATAATTAATACACTAAACAAAAAGGTGAAGTAAAAAACAGTGACAATGAAGGGAACGGTAGGTTTCGCTTTAAACATTGCTAATAATGGGTTGCTTTTCATTTTGCTCGAGAATTGCCTGTAAATTGGTATCAAATAAATCGCACCTAAAATCGTATCAATAATACAAACAATTAGTAAATTAATCACAAATCTAAGGGAACGGTAGCCTTAGTATCATCAGTGGACAAACATCTCATACCTGATGGGCATATCAAGCGAATAGAATGGGTTCTTAAGGGCGTAATCGGTGTACAATTCGTAGATCTTCTTAAGCAACAGGTCTTTGTTTGCGGGAACCGTTAGATCGCTGACTATCAGAAACTTAACGCCAGTCGTTGTCTGCAGACAATTGATGCGAAAGTTATTGGTTTCCATGACTTCAATGCCGGAGCTCTTGAGGAACTGGCGATCGTTGCGGCCTTTGGTGCAGATCTGAAGGGCTGCGATGGCGTACAGCGAGTGAAACATCGACGACAACACTATCTTCTCATTAGTGGTCAGTCTCTGCAAACCAAACCTATTGGACACGCATTTAGACAATCGGTTAACACTTTAAACACATGTTAAAGACATCGATAACTAGTGTTTGAATACNCGATCGTTGCGGCCTTTGGTGCAGATCTGAAGGGCTGCGATGGCGTACAGCGAGTGAAACATCGACGACAACACTATCTTCTCATTAGTGGTCAGTCTCTGCAAACCAAACCTATTGGACACGCATTTAGACAATCGGTTAACACTTTAAACACATGTTAAAGACATCGATAACTAGTGTTTGAATACAAAACACAATAACTCTTAAGAAGTCATTATGTGTTCAGACAATCACAAGAAGTTATTGAATAAGTGTTTTATGAGATCAATAGCTCTCTCTCTCTCTCTCTCTCTCTCTCGTACTTAAGATTTATGGGATAATTGTCTTCATTGGCGAGAATGTCGTCCATAACGTCCTTATCATCCATTTTGCGGCCACTAAAGGGCTGACCATTGATGGCGAGCAACGTATAGCCAACTGATCCGCCAATCAGTGGATCAACACATGAAATACAGACACAAACAGTTAGTAACCAACGCATGGGATCAGTTGCGATGGCAATACCTCTGATGCCATCCCTCTGTCCGAAACTGACGATCAACTTCTGGTGAATGAAATCCAGTTTCACATCCAATGGATAACTGAATGTCTTCTCGACCTCCGAGGACACGAAGTTGTGTTCGCAGTCGTAGTTGAATATAAGACCACCGCTTCTCGAGATGATATACACGCTGTAAATGCCCGGCATTTGTGTGGACACGAGTTGATCACCTGATTGTGTCTTAAGGTAACCACTAATTGTCACTCAAATCAGTGTTTCATTTGATTTGTGTTTTTGTTGTCAATGAGTTTGAGAGGCGTTTGTTATGTGAACGTTATTTATCGTTATTTTTAGGCCCTTTGTATGTTATAGTCTACTACTGATATGCATTATGTACTCATATATAAAGGTCAAGTTTACTCAATAACAAACTTTTTGTATTAAAAACACTTGTACTATATGTTGAGTAATAGTAAATAGACGTTTATATACAATAACTCATATTAGTGCTTAGTATTAAAACGTACTAAACATTCGCTAGTATTTATACGGTTACACATTGACAGCACGTGCCGTGCATTCAAAAAACGTTTGAAAAGTCAGTCATTCATTGCATTTGCTGTGAAAAACAAACACAACTTCTTTGTGGACACAAACTCTTGGAGCGGTTCCCATCTGTGGTGATGTCTAACTGGACACAAATACAGCAACAACTGAGACACCCGTCCAATCCCGTGGTGTTCTTCGACATCACGATCGGCACCACAGAAGTCGGTCGCATGAAAATGGAGTTGTTTTCCGATGTCGTGCCCAAAACGGCCGAAAACTTCCGGTATGTGTGTTCATCGGACACGTGATAATCACTCCGAATCTGATCCATGTCTACCACCCATACAGACAGTTCTGCACCGGCGAGTACAAGCGCGACGGCGTTCCCATCGGCTATAAAGGCGTGTCTTTCCATCGTGTGATCAAAGACTTTATGATACAATCGGGAGATTTCGTGAATGTATTGATCAGTTGTTTTGTAGCATGTGTTGAGGCTGTGGATCAGTTGATTGATACGTGTTTTGTGTCTACAGAATGACGGGACAGGTATTATGTCGATCTTCGGCGGCGGGAAGTTTCCCGACGAGAACTTTGGGCTCAAACACGACTCCCCGGGACTCCTGTCTATGGTTTGTGTGGTTTTTGGACTCATTGTTTGGGTTTTAATTTAGTTTTTGGTTTAATTGTCATTAATTAAGGGGTTTTTAGTGCAAAATATTTGATGTCTTGAAGTGTTTTATGTTTTTTAATTGATTAGACAGAGAGAGAGAGAGAGAGAGAGAGAGAGAGAAAGACTTGTAATTCAAAAAACACTTAAAACTAGTTTTACTTTATTTTATTAGTTTTTAAGACTTATTTTTCTAACTTTTTATGTTTTATAATAGTTTACAAATGTCTTATCACTAAAATTCTCATCAATGTTGTGATTATCTTATAGGCAAACAGTGGTAAAGACACGAATGGCTGCCAATTCTTCATAACGTGTGCGAAATGCGATTTTCTCGACGGAAAACACGTTGTCTTTGGTATGCATTCAGTGATTGAATTGATTTTATTATATTTTTTTTTGTTTAATTGTGTTTTTGTGTCTCATTTTTAGGCCGTATTATAGACGGGATGTTAGTTATGAGGAAAGTGGAGAACGTGCCCACCGGTCCCAATAATAAACCTAAAATACCTGTCATTATCTCCCAGTGCGGCGAGATGTAGGCGCTGTTACCGACATTCATACGAGTATTTTCTATTGTAATTCTTGATGTTTACTGTCATTTTCATTGATTACTTTAACTTTGTATTTATTTTGAACATTAAAGAGATTTTTAAATTAGTTTTTAGTGTTTTTCTATTCATGGGTATGAGTCTGGAGTCTAGGATTCAAATGCGCCAAAGAATCGGTGATAATGTGGTCGAGAATTACATAATTGATTTCTATTAAAATTTTTATCACAATTAAAATAGTCAAGTGTTTGTTAATAATTACGATTACTATAGTATTTGTAGTCATATGTTGTATAAATCTATTTTATTAGCCCATTACAGAAATATTATCAAAAATCGTGGGAAATGTTTTACAATTATAAAAGTTGTGAGTATTTAAAAACATTTTGTGTATAGAAAACAGTTATACAGAATTGACTCGTGTTTACAAACCATTACAAACACATACACTAAACGCATAATTAATTATAAAAATTAACCGCTAATTAATTTTCAAATTAGTTACCATGTTAATACGATATGCGAACTTATTGTACTAAACACTGGACTATACATACAATTAGAAAAACATTTAAAAGGTTTATAAACTCAATTAAGTTTTGTTAATGTGTATACTATACAAGTTAGTAGTAAACTAAATAATAAGTAATAAGAGACAGGTACTTTTTTAATGAGAAATTTTCCAAGTATAAATTATTTACAAAAGTATTTCTTAAGTTTTAAAAACAATTTCTTTTTATATAAAAACAATTTTGAGCAAACATTTTGAATATGAAAAGTGAGAAAAACAATTAATTCAATTAAAATTACAAAACACTATACAATGAGTGATGAAAAATATTATTTTTTAAAAAATTGTAACAAAAAAAGTTGTGAAAAATACTTTTTTGGATAATTTTTGTTCACGTTTTTTGGATTATAAGCAGCTCTTAGTGTATTGTGTGAGTTAAGGGGGGAGTTGGGAGGGGTCAGGGAGGGTAGGTATGTGTGTTTGTGAGAGAGAGTGACAAACTCTCAATTAATTTAAATAATAAATTTTGAGTAATTTATAAATGACTGGAATTTTTTCGTTTAGAAAACAACATTAAATTAAATTAAACAATAAATTTAAATAAACATTATATAAACTAGAAAAGTTAACGGAGACATTTTTTGTTTGTTGGCAATAATTGTATGTATAATAATAATAAGTGTGCAGAGGACAGGTGTACTATAGGAACTGGGTGATATATAATTTTTGTGGTTGCGGTAGTAGTCGTAATAACAAATAAAAAGCGAGATTTAAATTAACAAAACAAAAAACAATTAATTTAAACAAGGCAAAAATTTTAACAAAACATAATAACAACGATAGTTGGCGTTTAAAAAAAATAGTAAAGTTTTTAGTGTTTAATGAAAAACACAACAAAACTATTGAATTAAAATCAAAGGAGAAAAACGGCTCAAATATTTCTAGAGTTAATAATTGTGTGCAAAAAATGTGTGGATTTTGTCGTCAAAAATCTAAACATAATTTTCCAAAAAATATTTTCGTGTGTGATATCTATAGCCCATACACCCGGGTGTGGAGGGGGGAAGGGGGGAGGAAAGTAGTGTTTTTGTATATGATTTCCGTAATGATATACACCATTAAAAACCCTATAAGTGTAGCGATAGAGCGATAGCCCGGCCCTTGATTTAAGGGGGACTTTGTCGTCGAGTGAGTGGGGGGAAGGGGAGGCCCTACCTATCCGTATGAGAAAAGTATGAGAAAAAAATTTTGGCACTTAATTGAAAATTAACGGAAAATTACTTCTGTTTCAATGAATAAACAAAAATTCGTATCAAAAGTGATGTATAGGTAGTAGTAGTGATGATAGAAAATATAATGGGAACAGTATGCTAAGGGGAGATGTAATGTATCTGGATAGAAAGTATATTCCCATTTGCGATAATAGTTACTTTGATGGACACGTACGTAAAAAATATGTGGACGGTTAGTTATTATATATATTTATATGATAATACATGTTGAACCCAAATATTAAATGATGATTGTATTATTAATTAGATAATAATAAACCCATTGATTGTGTGGTAGAATATTCTGGTGTCTCTATTAATAGTGTTTATTATTATTATTATTATTACGGTGAGTACTTTTAGGAGGTGCTCTTAGTAGCTGCCCTCGCCGGCATAGCCACCGCCATATCCACCACCGTTTCCACCTCCGTATCCGCCGCCACCTCCATATCCACCATCAGAGTAGCCCCCGTCCACATAACTGGGCGCCTCCATCACCGGGTAGGGCTCGGCATAAGGCTCATGGACTATAAAATTGGGACATTTGTTAGGAATCCACGCTATTTATGATGGTATATGTAGTTTTTTTTGGATGGATAAATACCTGGGATATTGTGCGTAATGGGAACGGTATGGTGTTTCTTGTGAACCACTACTGGGTGCTCAGGCTTTTCGATTCTGTGAGGGGAAAGGGATAGGTATGCCGTGAATATTAGTTATAGTATTTTATGGATAATAATAATGGTTTAAAATATAATTATTATTAACTGGCATATTTAGATTTGTATGTATTAATGCAATGTGTAATTTATCATAGAGTAAATTATCTAGCACTTATCGTGAAATAAGTATAAAATTATAAATTAGCATAATACCACATAACATTTTCTATGATAGTGTTTTTTTAGTATTTTAAAAATATTTTTCTAAAATAGTTTTTTACAAGTATTTTGTGAAAACCCCCGCAAAACATATAGTCATAAAAAACAAATATTATGCGCTTTTTAATAGCAAATACATTTAGAGCCGATTTGTGTGCATACTATCGGAAATACAGCAAAAGCATGAAAAACAAGAAATAATTAACAAATTTAGGCTAAAATATAGTGATTATTAATAGCAATAAATAAATTCCGAGAAATTAGCGGATGAATTAATAGCCTGTATATATAGTATAGTTTATATAATATATATATAATGTATTTATAAATAAAATTGAGTGGAAAAAAGTGTATGTCTTTGAGCGAAATGCCCCCAAAATTAATACATATCTAAAGATATAATCGAGAGTTTATTGAATGAAAATATAAATTTGTAAATTATATATATAGAGTACTCCGTATATATTATATAAGATGTGTGTATATATACATACAGGTATACATAATGCGGGATACTATATATAAATGTTAACATATTTTTTTGTTTCAAGCGCTCAGTGTGTTTGCTATTTATAGTTACTTAATGTGCTCCACATTTGGAGTCTTAATGTAGGTCTGAGAGTCTCGGATGAGTTTTTTACCGTAAGAGAGAGAGAGAGAGAGAGGCGAAAAACTTTTACTCTAAATATTTCCTGAGAAGAGAGCAACAAATCTCTCTCACAGGCTCTCTCTCTCTCTCTCTCTCTCTCTCTCCTAAAGACAATATTTAATTGATTGTCATTTAAAATGGAAATTTTAATCGCGAAAAATAAACCTATAATTTATGTTAAAAAACGCTTGTTTTTGCGCTAAACATGGCTTTAGTATTAGTATAATATTTTCTAAAAAGTGTATCAAAATATGTTTTTTACTTTTTGTGCTGATAAATAGTTTATTTTTAGGCGTATGGATAAGCACAAATTTATTTATATATTTAAAATCGCCGATAAATTAACGATAATAGTTAGCATATCCATTACTACTGAATGAAATCGCCGTTACCATCGCCATTACCCTACCCTTCATATGGTTTGAACCCGAGACACACACGCAATTTTTTATTTATTGTTTATTTTAGAGATTATTGGCTAATAAAATATTTATTCATTTTAAAGTGGCTATTTGTGTAAATATATATATACGGCTAGTTAGCATGGCATCGTAAAAGTATTATATAAATATTTGTATAGTATCTGTTTTGTAGAAATATTTGAAATTCTGTGATAAATACACAAATTATATAAACTATAAACTATTCACAATTATTTTAATACATTATAATACAATTAATGCTTAAACAAATATGCTTTTTATTAAAAAACATTAATTTTAAAAATTCTTTGAATCTTTAAATCACTACAAATTTATAATTAATTTAGTAATTTATTTCTAAATGTCTGCAATATACTTATTATTAATATCAGCTAGTAACTAGTTGCATAACTATAATTCACTAGAAATAGTTAAAACTTATAACTCATGAACTAATAGTTATAACTCCAAAAGCTTTACACAAAATCTCGTAACAAATTATTAAAAATACAAATCTAAACAAGCTTACTTTTGGATTTGAGCAGGAACAGTAGGGCGCCGATCTTTTTCAGCTTCTGCAGCAGTTTCTTATCTCCCTTAACCGGCTTCAGGTTATCACTGATGAGTACCAACTGGAGGGCCAGTATAGCCACTATGAGTAGCGTCGATACGCGGCGACTGTATCCTAATGTCATTGTCGGTAATAGGTATGGGTAGGTATGGGTTGAAAACACAAGTGTGTGATAATTGGTAATGGACCAAACACCTAAAGAGAATTTTAGCATTTAGTACATTATAAAAAAAAGTCACACAAATTCATCAGAAAAATGTATGCTTACTATTCGCTCACATGACTGACAGACTGGTCTCACTATCAATACATACACACGGCTTATGTAATCGGCCATCAATACTACCCGTCCCCGTCCATTGATCTAAGCATTAATACATATTATATTACTTATTAATACAGGAATGCATAATAAAATTTTTATTCACACTTTTTTAGATACAATTTTCTGTTTTATGATTTTTATTGTATATTCATATTTGAGTGATAGATATTTAATGGTATATTAAACTGTTTTTGATCACAATAACAGTAGTGTATATAGTTGTTAAAAATATCCAGGTATATAAAAGTAGTAGTATAATTTGCGTAAGATTTATTACACACATGAATATTCAGGTTATTATTATTATGATTATAATTCGTGATACATTTTTCTTGTTGTTGTTATTGCTTTCATTTTTAATATAATAGTAATTATTATGGGGCCAGTATAGCCACTATGAGTAGCGTCGATACGCGGCGACTGTATCCTAATGTCATTGTCGGTAATAGGTATGGGTAGGTATGGGTTGAAAACACAAG